AATCACGCGTTCGTTCCGTCGACTGCACATTAATCCGAAATCAAAGCTAGGGCTTCTTGTTGATGAATACTACATCACCGTGGTATACAGACAGCTTTATTTCTCGGATAACGCGCATAGGAAGGCGAGAGAGAGGGATAAAGCAGGAAAAACTTGCATAAAAATCCAGACAGAACAGAATAATTATTTCACAAGTGAAGGAAATTCCATCTGACTGAATAGGTTGGAGAACTGGGTTCATTAATGCAAAAAATGTACATCCAAGAAAACTTTAGACGGCAAGCAGAGGGGAACCAATTTAAATCAAGCAGTAGTGATGCGATAACGAAATGGTGGTAACTCAATCAACTTCGTTGGTTCATGTGGGGTAATGAAGCGACGGCTCTTTTCACAATTAGAACTTCGATGGCTACGTTCACAAGGGAAAGGTTTCACGCTGTAAAATAATTCTTAACATTCTGTATTTAGCCAAATAAGTAGATAAAATATCTGATTGAATCAGTCTCCCAAAACAAAAAATGGAACTTTAAAATGCTGCATCAGGTCCGCGGAATTCTTAGAATGACTAATAAATTTTAATTTCGACTTCTCAGAGAAAACTTATGAGCTTTATGCTATTATCTCTGTTAAGCTGTATAGGCTATAACAATTATTAATCATTTTCAAATAAAAATGTTCTGATAAAGCATTGATGAAGATAGGACATGTGTAAGATACTAACTTTTGTGGGTTTAACACGCCTCTCGTTAATTCAATTTCCAAAAAAAAGCGACTTCATCAAGTGACGCTGATTAAAAGGATAAACGCAAAGCCTACAAGCTAATTTGAAAGCTACCGGCGCTAATACAGAAAAAAGGCTAGAAGAGTTGGCGTCTTCGGGCGTATACGCTAACGACTACACCCAGTATCGTTGAATTCGACTTGAATTGACTGCAAAATGGTCAAAACAATTACTATTGAAGCTGTGAGCGTCTTGGTCCGAGATTTATTCGAGACTACTAGATTTGTTCGAGACTACTGAGTCAAGGAAAATTATGGAATAGGCTTATTGAAAAGGTTTTTGCGGAAATAGCGCAGACTTAATGAAAGTTTACAATAAGCAAATGTCAAAGCCGCGTATGGAAGCTATTTAAGCAGTATGACTAAGTACCGGATTCAATAAAATCTTAATTGGATGCTGCAATAATGAGATATAGTCATCGCTTTTTAAATTTACCAAACGTCCACCAAACCATCTCGAGGTCATTAAACCCGTGTTAAACCACTTGTCGCAGTGTGCGAATATTATAGTGATCCGCTAGATTGACAGCGAACAGCTGTACATTCCAGGCTGCTTAAATGTTTATTTTTATGTTAATAACATACACTCAAACATCTGCCATTAATAAGATCAGAATAAAATAATCATATGCAACAAACGCGTTCAGTTAAGCGCCTCATTACTCTAAAAACTCGAAATTTAGGTGCACGACGCGAGAGAGCGTAGACTGCAGACGGGCAGTTGGCATCGAAATAACGCTGCACAATGAAGGAGCGGAACTGACATACGACTGCCATGCACGAACGCGAGAGCTGAGGAGATTCGAGGTCGATATTTGAGCTCCTCGAAGATGTGATTTGGAAGCGAGTACTGAGCGACACTTTCAGTACGAAATAGGAACAATATTAGCTCAAAAGGGATGTATATGAAGTGGTGGAAAAAAAAACATTTTGCAATTAGGTTGTTCTCCGAGTAATTGAGTTTTCTGCGTATGTGCTATAACCTAAC